CGCCACATCTGTTTGCTGTTGGTGAGGGCAGGAGGAGATCAGCCACAGGATATTGAACATCCACGCGGAGGGGTGTGAAGCTGCTAACACCGGCAGAGGCTGTTTTTCCTCTGCTAAAGGACAAATGGTGAAACAAATAATAGAGGAAGGAACAAACAAGAGGCTTTATCATACGTGGCCTCGTGGGAATACTCCTGCTCCCTTGTGCTCCGTTTTTAGCTTTCTGATTTGGGCCTCGTTGCTTCTCTTGAAAGTTAAGAGGAACAAGTCTGGGAAGTCGGTATAAATTCAAATGTCACTGTTAGCCTCTATTTGTACATTCGCTGCTCGCACAATAAACAACCCCCCCCCCGCGCCTTCGGTCGAGGCTGTATCTATTTAAGACTCGCCACCGACCTGGGCTTCTTTTATGGGATAGCTATTATTCAAAGGAGAATAGGTGTAGGGCCCAACCATAAATTCCAGCAAGTGGCCCTTCGAAAGGGGTACAGCGCCGAGGAATTGACTGCATGCTCTGTGATTTTACTCTGGTGCGCTGTGACCTTTTGAGTTGAGACGGAGTCATTTGTTTGGTTGACAAGAGCTGCTCTAATAATTCAGGGGGACAGTGGCTGCTGGTGAAACTCGGTGATGAGCCAAACTGTACTCTTGGAAGGCGGCTACACCTAGAAGGCAGAGGCATTTGTTTTCCTCACGCAAGGAGTACCCTCTCACGTCGTGGCCCCTCCACAGGACTAATCTATATCTTGTGTGTCTGAGTGTTTAATTTTCACTGTGTCAAGGGTGTTATGTTTGGAGGACTTAGTTTGGAAGAACTCCACCCCACATGCTGTGCATGAACAACCTGCTTGCAGCCCCTGCAAAGGAAAAAGCATAAAGAAGAAGATCAAGATTTATAAGGGCCGCCATTTATTCATTAAGTTTCTTCAAGTAAAAATCATAAATGTGATAACTGTGCAGAAACAATACAGTATAAAATAAAGCACACCGTAGATGGTCATCAATTAATCATTAAGTTAGTGCAAGTAAAACTGCAAAAACATATCTATATATTTAAGAAGTAATGAAAAGAAAAGCGTGTTTGGTGTTCCTCTCAGAGAAACTGAAAGTAAAGATTTAAGTAAGGGAAAGGATGAACTGACAGAACAATTGATTTGAGCACAAAGACTTGGGGGAGAAAGCGCGGGGGTGGGGGTTACTCTGAAGTTGTTGTTTGTTCCCTTAAATAACTTTATTGTAAGGATCTCTTTGTTGGCTATTATACTCAAATGAATCATTGTGTGTCCTTTCAAGTGACCCAACAGTCAACAGTGGGAGGGGACAGTTAATTACACCACTAACTGAGCTGTTGACTTGCTAACGCAGTTGTTAGGCCTGCAAGTAAAACTCACTGATGTTTAGGTAGCTGCTCTCCTTCGTCACCAGTACACGACTTCTTCTCTTACTTTTATTTAGGGGCAACTTTACACTTTGCAAATCACCAACGCCTTATACAGACAGCTAACGTTACATGTTACTTCCACCAATGCTAAAATATGAAGTTGCTAGTGTATAACTATTTATTTTTGGGGATAAAATACTGATTATTATAGAGGTTAAAAGCTTTCCAAGGTTAAAAGGCTAACACCAATGTCCATGCTTCTGCATCAGAACTTTATTAATTAATTCAATCATTAACACATATGTGTGTGCTGGTAAAAGGTAACACTCACCAACATTTAAAATTAACATTTTATATATATTAATATATTTGTTAAAGGCTTTTGAAAGCCTGCAACAGTAATTGTTACTTCACAAGATGAGAAGCTAACTTCCTCTTTGCATCTTTGGGATATATTAAAAACCTGAGTAGTAGTAGTTATACTGTTGTTTAAATCTCCTTTCAGGCTGCAGCGCCAACACGAGAGAAGTTAACTCACGAACTCTGTTTGCTAATTAAACCTTTGTGTTAGTGTTTGTGCTCATATTTTTGTACCAGTAGTATTTCCAAAGTTTATTAAAAAGTAACACACTTGAAAAAAAAAACCTTAATTAACGCTAACATGTTCAGGAACATATGTGTTTTGCTAAAAGCTTTTTGAAACTTCACTGTCAACATTGCTCCTTGTTTGCTTATTCAGTGAGTATTATGTACTTATACTGGCAGAATATTCTCAAATATAGGCTTTAAATTTTTGGGTAATATGCTGAAAAAAAGATGAAGGTGCTGCCTGGCTCACACAGTTTAAAGCTTTTAGCTGCAATGCTAATGAAACTTACTTGCTGCTACCGAATGCTACCCAGAATGTGTAGGGCTACTTTTTAAAAAGGTACACCAACTTACAATTTTCAGGGAATATGTTGAAAATGTGAGCGGTAAATTATAATGTAGCTAGTTAAAAGCTTTTCTAAGGCTGCATTGCGAACAGTTGGCCAAGTTGCAGTTAGCGAGTTAAAACTACCTTCAACTGAACAAAAGAGCGAATGTTATGGATAAAAGAGACACGGATTCAAGAGCGACACGCTGTTGTTGAAGTTTTTTATTATTCTTACATCTTTAAACCCCAAAACTATCTACACTAAATTCTAAAAACGAAATACCCACAAATGAACACTGTCAGGGACACGTGAGAAGATGGCCGCTGTGTTTTACTGTAGTTTACATGTTCTTTGAGGCTGCACCAATCACAAAGCTGCTAAATGTGTGAACAGCAAATGTTAAGCCTGACTAATAATGATTTGCGAGGACAGATCAGAGGACCGCGAGCGTGAAAGACTGCCATTATGTGCCTCATATATCACCTCAACTAAAAGGAGCTTGTGTGTGGCGAGGCTTCGCTCCCGGCCTCTCACACCTGTTACACTGATTCATCCACAGCAGTAAAGACACCAGACCGAACTGTCAGTCAGAAGCTCAGCTTAGTTAAAGAGGCAGTAAAAGGAGTTCGGTCATTTACAAACTCAGTGAAGCGCCGGTTCATCGAAGTGTGTGACATACACTATGACTACATTCGTCGTATCGTTAGATGGTGTTGTTACAGGGGCCGTCCCGTAATCAGAGGGTCACAGGTCTGGTTCCTGAAACTGCCAGTGAGTCAGCTGGCAGCTATTTCCAGTCAGCATTCGTCATTCTGCCGTCCATTATAGGAGTGCTATAATAAATATATTACTTATTTAATGTTCAAAGGATATAAAATCGGTTTAACAAACCAGGAAACACAGTGAATCAGCTGATTTTAACATGTTGAGAATTACGTTTGACCAGTTTTGGAAAATCCTGAGAGGTGTTTATTAAATCTACTCTCATATTTACAATATTAGATGGACAAAGTATTAAAAACACTTCTCAGTATTGTGCAGTACAGTTCAGGAACAGCACAAACTACAGCCTAAAACTATTTCAGTAATAACTGAACATCACAACCTTCATGAAGGTTGGATCTTATTCTTCTAAAATATACATTTATTATCTATTTATGCACTTTTGTTGGAATTATCATTTGTATCTGTAAAGCAGGCCTGCGACTAATGAATAGTTTCACCCTCAGTGAGTGTAGAAGGAATTCTTCATGAACTGATTAATTGTTTTGTCCATAAAATGATCAGAAAATAGTGAAAAACGCCAATCATAGTTACTCAAAGCACAAACTGAAGCAAAACCCGAAGATCTTAGATACAATAAATATTAGGGTAAGATTAAGATTACATGAAATGCAATTACAGATCAACACCAGACTCTAAGATGTGGCTGAAATCTCGAAAACGCAAAATCAATCCGTGTACTTTCAGTTTGAGAAGCACGAACCAGAGAATGTTTGACATTCCTAAAGTTATTACCTAATTTATTAACCAACTAATTGTTCCGTCACGACTCTATAAACTTATATTTTAATAAGGGCTATTAGGATTGCATATGAAGCATTGGTTTCAAACACCAGATTTACCTCAGCTGATCTTTGACTGAATCCAATCTGAGCCTTCTGCCTTAATAAAGAACCTTTTTAAAGGAAAATCTAACATTACGGAGGCTGAATAAAGAGTCTGCTTCATTTCTGTCCCAGCTTTGAAGATAAAGTAGTATTGTTCTAACTGTTTGAGCCACAAAGCCTGTCTGAATGGTGCTGGCGGAAAGGTCAATAGTCAAATAAACTTTGATGACATGTGAGCTAAGACCTCCGCCTCATCATCCCCCGTCCCCTTTAACCCCCAACCCCCCTCCTCCCCCCCGCGTCCGACCCCCACGTCCAAGCTGCCAGAAAGCAGATTGAGTCGTGAATCGCAGGGGTTCGCGGGAAGACAGAAAGCCCCCGCGTGGTGTGCTGTCTTTCAGGGAAAAAAATCCCTCGACATGTTTGCCCACTGCTCGAGGATAATCTCATAGGTTGAGCAAAGATAAACAAGTAGCAGAGGGCCGTGTGTGCCGAGGCGGGCACCACGTGGAGGCGGCCCGGGGGATTCACGTTAAGATTTTAGGCATCACGCCGTGAATCAACAGTTTCTAATGAAGGATACTGAACAGAGAGCAGCTATTCTGGGTTTTGAACAACTGTTTCCAGGGTCAAGAATGTCTTCTCACATTCAAGCTTTGTTTGTTTGTTTGTTTATCTTTAACTAACTAAACTGGAAGCCATTTGGGATAAAATCTGCAAAGTAATTATGTCAATTAGTGTGTTTTCTTGCACTATAAATAAATAATGTAACAAATATTTAAATGCACAAATGAACTTTAAATCTTTAAACCACTTGAAGACAATGAAAGGTGTGTTTTCATGCAACAGCAGCACTGCTGTGACGGCTTGTGCTTAAGTGATTGAAACTCTTTTGGTATTTATCTCTGACGAGCCTTTTCATGAACGCTCTTCAGCAGGAACATCTAAGCACTCTCAGTGCTTCCACAGTGTGTCTTGAGTGAATCCTGAGTGCACTCATCTCAAATTAACACTTGGTTTCCTCAGCGCGGCCCTCCGAGTGTTCTCCACTCAGTCTGAATTAAAGCTCCTTTTGTGTTCTTTCACTTTCAGAGACGTCGGCAATGGAGACATCCACATCGAGAGCCACCGACAAAAAAGACAAAATGGACGGGAACGGATTCTCCGACCTCCCAAAGAAACCCTCGCCGTCAGATATGAGAGGTAACACGCTTTTCAAAAGCAGCGGCTGGATCTGAGTTTCGTGTCCGGCTGTCTGTCGGGCCTCCGCGTGCTGTGTGACAGAATGAGCCGAGGTCTCGCAGGTGCTCAGCCAGGGGGCAAAGGGGGAGCCAACACGGCCGATGAAATATACATTTCAAAGATAAAGTGCCATCTCGGGAGCCGATGCTCGTGGCTCTCCTCAGGCCTGATAAGGTACCAGCAGCAGTCAGAGGTGACTTACAGTAGATGTCTGATATGAATCCTAAATAGACTCAGGTCTTAAAAGAGCATCGTTAATGCGGATCGCCCCGGTATCAAGGTCTGGTGTGTACAGTCGAGGAGTGTGGCACCATTTGAGCCCATAAACACTGATGAATAGATAACATGACAAGAGGGGGGGGGGCAGGTGAGAACGAGTGTTTGTGTTGTTGAACTAAATCAAGAGTAGCAGCGATCCTCTCTCGCAGGGGAGGCTCAGGCAGAAAGAGAGGATACATGTTTTAAAGATGTCAGTGAACGTGTGATGAAAGCTCGGTATAATGAGGCTGAAAGACCTTGTTCTTACCTCCAGAGTATAAAGGCAAAAAAAAAAAAAAAAAAAATGGCAGAGGCTGGTAGAGCCGAGGACGACACGGAGCTTCAGAGATTGACAAAGATGCGGACTGATGGGCTGCCTTTGAAATGGAAATTAAACGCGTGATTTAGTGACATTTTTACTCATTAATGAAGGACTTGGTGGCCTGCCATTATAAAGAAACACTCATTAACTGATAAAGAAGGAACAGAGTTTGAAACAGAGCCCAAAAGGAGAAAACAAAACAACTCTGCTTTACAGGATAGTTCTGGTTTATTACAACTCTTTTTATTGGATATGATAACACTGTACTTATCAAAGCGCACGCTGAGATCTGGGAACACGATTCAAATCAGACAGAAATGTACGTCCAGTGCAAATACTCAGTGTCAGCGCAGGAAGGGCCAGTTGATGAGGAAATGTTTGGCAAGTTATTAGTATGTTACAGATTAAAATAAAGCATTTATATGCAAATGTTAAGCTGGAAGTCGGTCTGCACACTGTAATGAAACATTTAGGGAAATAATTTTACAGTTTGTCTTTGTTTTCTCAGATCCCCTGACTTGTCCACAAATCCCACCTATAAACTTTAAGAGTACAATCTTATCGTTACTGATAGAAATGAGGGACAAACTACAAAAACAAGACCCACGTTGTGCTGAACCAGGCTTATCCTTTAAGTTTCTTTCACGGGTTGGTGAAATATGCAGACGTCTCTGGGCCTCGACAGAATGCGATGATTTTTGCCTGGAAAGCTCGACGTTACAGGCGTTTTGCGTGCATACTTTAGTTTCACCAGATATCGCTGTTGCTTCTCAGCTTTAACCGAAGCAGCAAATCCATGAGGAACATGTCCCCCTAAGCGTTACAAAATCTGAATGAGCAAACTCCTGCATCTGTAGTTTGACCTGTCAAAGCACTGACCCACATTTAAAGCACAGGAGCAACCTGCTGGTGAAAGTCCCTTGAATTCGAGGTGAGGACGACATTAGAGTCAGAAAGGATGCATGTTTTAAAGATGTCAGTGAACGTGTGATGAAAGCTCGGTATAATGAGGTTAAAAGACCTTGTCTTACCTCCAGAGTATAAAAGGGATGAATTACTGAAAAAACCCACTGAAGGCCGGTGGAGCGGCGCCGAGGACGACACCGTGTTGGAGAGATTGACACGGATGCAGAGTGACGGGCCACTTTTGAAATGGAAATACAGCCAGTGATCAAGTGACGTTTCTCCTATTTAAAGAAGAACTTGGTGGCCTGCCACGATGAAGAAATCCAGCATTAATTGTTCATAAGAGAAAATCAATGTAGGACAGTTTTACATGTGGAGTTGGCGTGTTCGGCGCTCCATTTCTTGACATGGTCTCCTTCAACATGGGAGCAAAGCTGAAGTCTTCCCCTGCACTGGATTATTAGGACAGCCTCAGGGTGCCTCAGTGGTCGGAGCTCACATGCTCCAGTGTCTCCATCGAATACCACAAGTCCTTGAGCGAGGAACTGGCTGAAAACAGTTTTAGAAACATTCAAAGTAATGTTGATGCAGAGTTTTAGTCCCTGTTTGTTCACAGGGACGATTTCTTCTGAAGAAAGAAGTTCCAACTTCGGTCCACAACATCTTCTGTAGTTTATCCAAAGAAGTGTCACAAGAGCAGTGACTTAAATCTCAATTTCAATGAGTTTTCTAACAAGCAGTAGGAGGTGAAAGTTTTTTAGGCCCGACCTTTGATTATGCTAGCTTTAGCACCAAAGCTAGCATAATAGTCTTCATCATAGTCTTTCACGCATCAACAATTAGGATTGTGACCATTGATTAATGTGCTTTAAATGTGATAATGAGCTTCCTTTCTTGGTGGTACATTATAGCAAACTGAATATTTCGGGGGGGTTTTGGACAGTTGGTTGCACAAAACAAAATATCTTTTCAGTTTCTGACCATTTTATAGACCAAACTCTTAATCAAGCAATCAAGAAAATAACAGATTAATAATTAATGAAAGAAATAAGCAGTCTGTTGGTGAAATTGACATCTGAGGTGTACTGTAGACAGACGTGTGTGTAGCTACTATCCAGACTGAGAGCTGCGTCGGTGCATGTTGCTTCAGGTACCAGTGAGACAATGAAAAACCAGCCAGGAAGTCCAGTTTGAGAAACAGATCCATCAGTCTGAAGGCTTAAAGGCTGCGCAGTGGTTTATAGTATCATGAGATACAGTTTAAAACAGGCTCAGAGCTTCTTCCTGTGTGTGCACCCCCGCTGTGCCAACACTGTGGTCTCTCTGAAATAAACGAGGGGGCTTGCAGTGTTTTCATGCAGTGCTAATGCGGGTCTGAACACAGCCTTAGTGTCCTTGAGCAAGACACCGGAACCAGATATACCCACAAACTGTCAAACGTGAAACTGTAAAGTAGTCCAGCTTGTTGTGGCTCGAACATAAGAAATCAATCAGTTAAGAGAACACAGGTCTTCTGTGAGCTTCAGTCAGACACCGATGCTCATTTTTACTCCCTTTTTTCTACATTTGGGTGGAGGACCACATGTTTTGCGTGTAGTTGAGACAAAATGTTCGATTTGACAGAATAATAGGAAATCAAATCAGTCATTTTAAGAATAAAATTTCAAAACGTCAAAAAAGTAAGTAGTAAAAAAGTATCAAGAAAAAAGTCATGATGAGAGAAAAGTTCGAACATTTAGAGAAGAAAGTTGTAATTGTCTTGTTATATTTGACTTCTTGTCAGTTTTTATATTATATATAAGTGCAGGTTTGTTTTAAGTTAAAGCTGGATGAATTACTCTCACCACGTCTGCCTGTTCAGTTGAGATTAAAACCTCTTTTTCTTCTCTGAAGGTAAAAGTAGGAGTTTGTTTTTTTTCATTTTCTGTTCACAAAAACAGCCCAGTACTCATTTAACAGGACTCTTGTTCCTCTGACCCTAAACCTAACCTCGCTTTAACTCCAACTCCTGTTGTATATTTATAAACGGCCATTTTCAGTATCGGCTCCTGAGTTTTTAATCTTCTCTCACCTAAAATAAAAAGTCCCTCCATAACTCTTCTTCCGTATCGGCTTTGTAGAAGAGCCCCGTATTTTAATCTTAAATAAACAAGAAGCGCAGATTCACCGCCGCCGCCGCCGCCTGCTCCCATCTCCACCAATCAGATATCAGCGAAGAGGCTCAGGCCTCAGTGCTAAAAACCACAACCGTCTGCCACCATGTCGAGACAGAGCAATTACTTATCGCCGTAATATGCATTATTATTCCTGTTGCCAGCTCCTGATAAGTGAATATGCAGCATGAGAGGGAGGCAGATGAGACAAGGTCCTTGAACCTCAGAGCTTATTCCCAAACAAGTCGGCCGAGACAAAAGCAGACACTTCTAATATACTGCTGCTGTTCGGGGCCCTTTTTAGTGTCAGTGTTTTGTTTACTGTTGGCTGCAGAATTCCTGTCACCTAAGTCATGCCCACCTCTGAGCCTCGACGCAGGCTTTATAACAGCCCGCCCTGTTTTATATTCCCGTCCCGTGTTATTTATTTAGAACAATTTCCTCTCTATCAAAGGACATGGCTAATGCCGAGTTTTAATATGTTATTTACACATAAAAACAAGCTATTTACAGCGGTGCATGTGTGCAGAAGGGAGGAAAATGAATGGGCCCCTGCGCCCCTATCCGATCTGTTATATCACAGTTTAACAATCTGGATTGCTAATAGAACCATTTATCATGGAGCGGTCATTTATTTTATGTGAGCGGCCCAGGTCCCGTTCCCAGAGGCCTATGGAAATGGGGTGCGCATATAATGAAGCTCAAGTGAGAGTCACTTTGTTTAAAAAGTGGATACGCCACGCTCCGAGTCAATTAGGATGGACCCAGGTGCTCCAGACGCTCCTATCTGCTCCTTTTTGATGATCCAACCTCCTCCCCCTCGTCTTCCCGCTCCGTCCACCCCGGGACGTGTTCCGACCCCCCCCCTACATATTTATTTTTTTGGGAGCGAAGGAAACAGGCTCTAAAATAAAATAAAACTCTGGCACGGTGACTTCTGGACCCGTGTTCGGTGTCATTTATTAAGAATCGGCCCTGGCAGCGCCGGTGTTTTGGGCTGAACTCTCTTCTCCTCCCCTGGCCGAGCCCGGGACTCTGCTGCCCAGTTAATAGATTCAAATGAGCGCTTGTATTTCCTCTGACAGCACGCATCTGTCTGCTTATACAGGCCGGGCCTCGGCGCACAGATTTACGCCATCTCAGGGACCTTTATGATTTCAAACCGAAGGTATTTAGAGTGAAAATATTGGTGAGAAATGCAGCAAAATGACAAAGAATCCACCAACCGTTATTGATGTATGTGTCCATTTCTAGACTCGGGCCTTTGAGAATTAAAGTCACCCTGTATTAAAGAAAGAATTTCCATCTGTTCATATGAATAT